GTCTTGGTCTGATTGGCAGGATGGCGAAGTAGCATGTCCAAGTGTTTGATGACTTGGAGACCGTACGGATGAGGGACACCCACTCCTTGGAGTGCAATAGGGGCATAGACCATAGCACGAGGAAAGTGGCGGCAAATACCGGCCTCTGGAAGTGCCGCCCTGAGCACTGAGGATAGTATCTTGTTCCACTCCTGTGGAGAGAAGAAGTTGAGCGCCATGGGGTACTCCAAAGTCTTCTGGATTGTGATGCAAAGGAGAGGGAGGACATCATATCGGTGGAGGAAGCTAGGTTGGATCTGATCCGCCCATGCTTTTGCTTTTCCCTGCATCACCACAAGTTGTGCTTTCCGGTTTGAGCAGGGGGACATTGGAATACCCAAAGTCTTCGCCAATTTGTCCGGTTCCAACCACTGCAGATGCACTGGGGTGCCATCCAGATCATCCAGTTCCACCGCAATTGCCGATGTTCCAGTGGGAAGAAGAGATGCTTTGAAATCCCCTTTCCGCCGGAATTTCCATACACCTTGTTGGGCATTCCACTTGAAGTCAATCAGATACCAAAAGGATTTATCTGGTCTGAATGTGCCACCAGTCAGGCGGACGCCGTTGGGCCACCATTTCAGTGCTTTGGCCACCTCGGGGACAATAGATTCCCCAGACTGGTCAGACATCAGTGTCATTGACAAAACAAAAGCAATCGGCCAAGAGTGGAGCCCAAGAGATTGACATCCGAAAGTCAAATCCAAAGCCTTTGCTAATCATCATACCCAAGAGAATGGAGCTAATTGCAACCCAGATAGGAGGTCCTGCCCCATTGCCTTGTCCACATCCTTGAAATGGAATCAGGGTCGGAGGAGTAAAGACACGGTCTGAACCACCAAACCCCGTACGGACCCGGTGCTTAGACTTCATCAGTGTATCAAACATGGAGTGAAGGGTACGCCATTGAATCCCAAAGCACATGAGGCTAATGATTGCCACCCAGTGGACAATCCGGTCAAGCAGGACTTGGCATTGTTGGAGATCCACCCGGCCGGGCGGCGTTGAAGATGCAAGAGGTCCCAAGTGAGACGCTTTGTAAGGGCCAGATTGATGGCCTGGTGACGCTTGCAAGACCCATGTTGTCCTTTTGGGATCAAGTTGTGCTGCTCTGCATAGGCCATGGCCGATTTCCCCACTCTCTTGTTGTTGGCCTGCAGCTCTGAATTCATCATTTGGATTGTGCGCATGAGGTCCACCCAAATCTCGCCTGGTTTCTTCTCAATTGCAAAGTTGAGCAAGTGGCACCACTGGGCTGGGACAAATCCTGTAGCAAAAGGGATGGAGCAAAAGATCGTGTCGCAGCAGGCAAGCAAGTTGGATGCTACTCCCGCTTTGAAATGGCCATTATGCAAGCCGTGTGGCTCCGAACCTTTGTGTTCCCCCATCTTACGCCAGAAGCTAACATGGTCCTCCAAATCCACCTCCAGGGGCTGGTCTTCCAAGCCATCCGGCCGTCGGCAATGATCCAGGAATGACACCAGATAAGGATCCGCCGTCTTGCTTACAAAGAGACCACGGAGCAGTGCTTGGCTGTTACTTTCGGCATTGGGGCCATTGATGTCGGAATACAAAGGTTCAGTCATGGGTGGAGTGGGGTAGGGGTAGCGGTAGCGGGTCTGGTCATACCTGAGCCGGTTCTCTTGCATGCAGCCTTCTTCCACAAGACGTTCAGACTGGCATGTTACCCAATGGGAGGTACCATCCTGTGCCACCTGGGCCACTTTGATCTGCTGGAGGCCGCCAGAGAAGCCTTTGCCTTGAGCTTTCCGTCGCCGTCCGGTCTCGTCTTTTTGTGCCATCCGCTGGACTTGAGTCCGTCTGATGCGAGCTTTGATGTTGCCCTTCTTTGCTCTCCGGACCGGTGCCGATCAGTTCTCCAGATATTCAAGGCGCCACTGATGGGCATGCTTCCGCTTGGCCTCTTCGTAGGATTGATGTTCAAGGTACCACTTTGCCTGTAGGTCAGCTTTTGATAATTTCCATGCATCGGTCAGCCTGGTCTTCTTCAACAAACGCCGTACCTTCCAGGAACTAGTCCTGACCTGTCTATTGCCCAAGATTAGGAGCTCGTAAAGGTGCAACCTATCCCATTTCTGCTGCATTTGTGGTGACCAGTGAACCTTACCCATTGACAGTTTCCGGCAGTTGCGCTCAGCCCTTCGGCGGATCTCATAGGCTTGGCGATGAATGGTGTTGAATCGAGCTTGCTGATTCGCCGTAAGGTAACCGTCCTGGACCAAAATATCCTCCGCTAATTGGGTCAAGCGTTGGGGAAGGCGGAAATGTCGGTAGCCCGCTTCCGCAGCCTTAATATAGCAGTCCACAGACCGACCATCAGCCAGTGTCAACCGACGTGGTTGGAAGGAAGGAGAGGTGACCGGTGGAGCCCCCAGAGTCGCTTCCAGGTCAATGTCAATCCAGAGTCCCCTGTGGTCCGACTTAAAACACTGCTGAAAGTCCAAGTATCCACCTGCCGTCGGTCACAAATATACCATTGATAGGAGTATCCGTCGGCCGACTTTGGGTTGTCGCTGGGTAAGGGCCCTGATGTCGGCGTAAGATGGCCTCGGTCAGGCCTTCAGACCACATCTCTTGGCGGAAGGAAGAGGGAGAGTTGTAGGAGACATCTTCGTTTGCATCTAACCCAAGGAGAATCTTGCACCCTTCCGCTTTCCATTGTTTGATCAGGTCAACCAAATCCAGTGTGAGCTTGTCATAGGCACCCCCTTGCTCCGCCAGTGATTCCGTTGGTAGTTCCAAACACTTCCAAACACTACCAGCATTGGTACCTTCCTTGTTTGGACGATATGCAGAGACCACCACAAGATCTAAAGGACCAGCCGGGGGCCCATCAGTCAGGGACTCCTGTTGTCGGATGTCCCTGCCCCGGATCTTGATCCATGAGAACCTGCCTAGCCCTGACTCATCTTTGCCGCCTGACTTTGCACGGCGCGCGACCTTGTGGAGTAATGTAGCAGAACATCCGCCCCATTGATGCGCCGAGGGAGTTGGAAACTCCTGGTGTTCGTAGTAAGATACTGAAGAGAAATGTCCCTGGTTAGTGAAGGACTTGACCCGATCAAACCACTTGTGTCCTCTGGGCACTGCTGACCATTGAAGGTTAACTTCAGCCAGCAGTGCAATACCCACTCTCTCATCCGTCCAACACTTGAAGAGCCCTTTCTGTTTCTCATGTGTCATAGGAAATGGAAGACCCTGAACATTTTGAAAAAGGACCCGGGTAACGCAAGGAGACTTCTGGCGTGAGTCATCGCCGAAGTAGTTACCGGGAGGGAGAGAGTTTAAATAAGCATCCAGCGAGGAGTGGGCCACCTGGCTGGATGTGTGTTGGTTGCGTAGATTTCGACCTTGGCCTTCCGTCAAACGCCGCAACCTTGCGTGACGGGACCGTTGGTGGTTAGGGACCACCGCCGGGGGGGCCACCCCCACTGTCAGCCGATGATGTTGCCTTGCTGGAGGAGGGGCTTGACGAACGGTGCTTGCCTGTGACCGATGCTTGTTCCGCCATTTTGGCCTCCAATTCAAGGATACGAGCATCCTTGGCAGCCTCCGCATCCTTAGCTTGAGCCAGTTTTTCTGCCGCAGTCTCTAATTCCGTGCAAAGGTCGTTGACATCCACTTTCATGTTCTCCAATAGTGCTGCCATATTTGCCGCGCTGCCTACCGTAGCCCCGTCATCCGTGTCCTTTGCAGCTGGCATCAACAGGTCAATTGTGGTTGTGCCCTCAAATCCTGGAGAAGCCTGCTCTGCCACAAGGAGCTTCTCAATCCACTCATTATCATCCTTCTCCACTTGCTGGTCCAAATCGACGTCCCGCTCATACTCCGAGATTGCGCGATGTTGGCTTTGGTCCCAGGTCATAGCGTTGGTTACCGTTCGATTATAGTGGTCCAAGCAGAGCCAGGTGCGACATGTCTTCCTCTGATGCTTCAGGTCCTGCCATAACGCCAGGTAAGAAAAAAGGAAGGCCGCCAGGTTCTTGAGAACTTCCTGTGCCAACGAGGCAAACTTTTGGCGCACCACAAGCCATCAATTGGGCCTGGTAGAATCATTTGGAAGAGACCGGCTGGGCCCTGGTTCAGTTCCGCATCCATTGCCGCCAGCCATGCGCTGCGATCAAATGCCTCAGTGACCAGGAACACCCGCAACTGTTGTGTGTTTGCGCGCCAGCCATCTCAGCACAAAACTTACGCGTTCTCCCGTCACCCGTAATCCCCTTTTATTTGATGGGAGAATATCACTCTTCTCGCGGTAACGTATTTTAACAAACACTTTCACACTAAAAAATCCGATTCTTAGACACCTTGCGGCTGGAACACTTTGTGGATGAGGCGGGTAGAGTTGGCTGAGCTGTGGTGGGGGCAGTTACACTTGGGTTGGCCGGGGTCAGTTCGGGAGGAGTAGAAGACACGGAAGGTGGCAATGGAGAGTCTGGAGTGTCGGCATCCAGTGTGGCTGGTTGTTCAGGCTGAGT